ACAAATAAAAATTTAGTCCCCCATAACTTTTTCTTTGAATATCATGCAGTCAGTAGTAAGTATGATAAGCTTTTAAAATGACACAGAAAATTAATAGGCCATCTTTTTTAAATGTTTCTCGTTTTGTCCCGGCCAACAATATAGGTCAAAATAACGCCAAATACTAAGGTGACCGTCACGAGTTTATTTGATAAAGAATAGAATTGAAGGTTCTGATATACGACGATTGGCAACCTGCAATACAACATGTGTATATATATTTGGAAGGAAACGCCATAAGCAATCTTGCACTCAAGGACGCCCATCGAAACAATATAAAATAGCGGATGTCGACTTGTCGGTGACCCGATGTTTCCTGAAACTGTGATACGATGTATTGTTAGGAATGTAACAGCGATACATCACGAACGCTGATACATCACGATACATCACGATACATCACGATACATCCATCACGAACGCTGATACATCACGATACATCCATCACGAACGCGTTTGTAATTTATCTCATGTATTCGAAAAAAAGTTGAGGAAATTCGAGGTTACCATGGCAACATTAATCATAGCGACGGCAAAAAAGCGAATGTCAGCTAAATTCCCCGGGGTGCCACGTTTGTGTTAAACAGGGAAATGCCATGTGTTATACAGTGTCTTGCTACAACCCCCATCCCCCCACACACGCGCGAACACACACACACACACACACACACACACACACACACGCGCGCGCGCGCACGCACGCACGCACGCACGCACGCACGCAGGCACGCAGGCACGCAGGCACGCACGCAAACACACACACACACACGCACGCACGCACGCACGCACGCACGCACGCACGCACACACACACACACACACATGCGCGCGCGCGGTGCGTGGGATAATGAACACGCGACAGAGAAGCTCGCGGGAAATGGCGCTCTCGCTATTTATACTCGCTATTTACTTTCACGTAACAATTACAAACTGCACAAGTTGCAGTATGACTCAGGACGTCATCTGACATCCAGTCAGTCTCTCTACAAGAGAATCTAATCACTTCACCGGAAAAAGTACCGATGACAACGCGCGCTGGTCGGTCGCTCAACGACGCTTCAGACAGGGTTGAGTGAACACGAGGGGAAGCCATACACTACGAGAGCCAAGATTCTGCGAACTGAATTACGATTGCGACGCGAGAGTATAACCGACAAAATATGTCTGTAGCTGACAGCTGAGCGATCAGCACCGCAGGCAGCTGTGACTGTCGGCAAAATTACAAACAACAGATTCTACGTTTCTCTCATATCATTTTATATACCAGTAAACATAATATTATTATACTAAATAGACACTGTTTTAATTCAGTAGCACACATCAGTGTCTGCTCACGATATTAATATGTAATTTCGATGTTGAAGCTAGTTTCTGTTTGACATCCTACATTGTAAGTAAGTTTGTGAGTGTGTGTGTGTGTGTGTGTGTGTGTGTGTGTGTGTGTGTGTGTGTGTGTGTGTGTGTGTGTGTGTGTGTGTGTGAGAGACAGGACGGAAAGGACGGACGCGAATGAGCTGGATGGGATGGAC